ATCCAACCAAATGAAACTAGAAATCAATTACAAGAAAAGTGGAAGAAACACAAACATGGCTAAATAACATGTTACTAAACAACCAATGTGTCATCAAAAAAAATCAAAGAGAAAAAAATACCTGGAGACAAATGAAAATGGAAACATGACAACTCAAAATCTTTGGGACACAGAAAAAGCACTTCTAAGAAGGATGTTTATAGCCATACAGGCCTACCTCAAGAAACAAGAAAAATCTCAAACAATTTAACTCTACATCTAATGGAGCCAGAAAAAGAAGAACAAAGTCCAAACTTAGCAAAAGAAAGAAAATAATAAAGATCAGAGCAGGAATAAATAGAGAAAAAAAACACAATAGAAAAAAATCGATGAGGGGTGCCTCGGTGCTCAGTCGTTAAACGTCTGCCTTCTGCTCAGGTCATGATCCCAGGGTCCTGGGATCGAGTCCCGCATCGGGCTCCCTGCTCGGCGGGAAGCCTGCCTCTCCCTCTCCCACTCCCCCTGCTTGTGTTCCCTCTCTCGCTGTTGTCTGTCTCTGTCAAATAAATAAATAAAATCTTTAAAATAAAGATCGATGAGACTAAGAGCTGGTTCTTTGAAAAGCAAACAAAACTGATAAACCTTTAGCTGACTCATCAAGAAAGAAAACTCAAAATCATAAACGACAGGACAAGTTACAAATGACAAATACAAAAAAAAAAAGATTTCTACAAAAAGTTATATGCCAACAACTTAGACAAACCAGAAGAAATGGATAAATTCCTAGAACTATAAAATCTTCCCAGACTGAATGAAGAAGAAATAGAAAATCTGAACAGGCCAATTAATAGCAATGAAATTGAATCAGCAATCAACAAATTACCAACAAACAAAAGTTCAGAACCAAGCTGACTCCCAGGTAAATTCTACCAAACATTTAAAAAAGAGATAATGACAATCTTTAAACTATTCAAAAAAAAAAAAGAGAAAGGAAAGCTTCCAAACTCCTTTTATGAGGCCAGCATTACCCTAATACCAAAATCAGACAAAAATGCCACAAGAAAAGTACAAGCCAGTATCTCTGATAAATGTAGATGCAAACAAAATATTAGCACATCAAATTAAAAAATACATTAAAAGGATCATTCACCACAACCAGTGGGATTTATTCCAGGGACGCAAGGATGGTTCAATATGTGCAAATTAATCAGCACGGTACACATTAACAAAATGAAGGATAAAAGTCACACGAGCATTTCAACAGCTGCAGAAAAAGCATCTGAGAAAATTCAACATCCATTCATGATAAAGATTTTTAACAAAGTGGGTACAGAAGTAATATACCTCCACATTATAAAGGTCATATATGACAAACCCACAGCTAACATCCTACTCCGGTGAAAAACTAAAAGCTTTTCCCCTAAGATCAGGAACGAGACAAGGATGTCCACTCTCACGACCATTATTCAACATAGTACTAGAAGTCCTTGCCATAGCAATCCGATATTTAAAAAATTTTTTAAAAGTCTAAATTGGTGAGGAGGAAGTAAAACTGTCACCATTTGCAGATGACACGGCACTATGTAGAGAAAACCCTAAAGACCCCACCAAAAAAATATTAGAATAAATGAATTCAGTAAAGTTGTGGGATGCAAAATCAGTATACAGAAATCTGTTGCATTTCTATATACTCAGTAATAAAAGAGCAGAAAGGGAAATTAAAAAAACAGTAACATTTATAATTGTATAACAAAGAATAAAATACTTAGGACTAAATTTAACCGAGAGGTTGAAGACCTATACTCTAAAAACTATTAAGACACTGATAAAGAAATCAAAGACAACACAAATAAATGGCAAGATATACCATGCTCATGCACTGGAAAAATTAATATTGTTAAAATATCCATACTACCCAAAGCAATCCACAGATTTAATGCAATCCCAATCAAAATACTAATAGTATTTTTCACAGAACTAGAACAAACAATCCTAAAATGTGTATGGAACCACAAAAGACCTCAAATAGCCAAAGCAATCTTGAGGAAGAACAAAGCTGGAGGTAGCACAATCCCAGATTTCAAACTATACTACAGAGTTACAATAATCAATTTTAGTATATGTGCTGCCAAAGCGAGCACCAGAGTTACAATAACCAAAACAGTACTGGCACAAAAACAGACATATAGGTCGATGGAATGGAATTCACAGCCCCGAAATAAACCCATGCTTATACGGTCTGCCAATCTACAACAAAGGAGACAAAAATATACAATGGGGAAAAGACAGGCTCTTCAATAAATGGTGTTGGGAAAACCCTAAATATAGAGAATAAAACTGGACCACTTTCTCACTACATAAAAGTAAACTCAAAATGGATTAAAGACCTAAATGTGAAACCAGGAACCATAAAACTAGAAGAGAACATAGGCAGTAATCTCTGGGACATTATTTTTCTGGCTGTGTCTCCTCAGGCAAGGGAAACAAAAGCAAAATGAAAAGGCAACCTACTGACTGGAAGAAGGTATTTGCAAATTATATCTCTGATAAGGGGTTAATATCCAAAATAACACCATCTAAAAGACAAATAATCTGATGAAAAAATGGGCAGAGGACCTGCATAGACACTTTTCCAAAGGAGACATACAAATGGTTAACAGATACATGAAAAACTGTTCAAAATCATTAGCCATCAGGGAAATTCAAATCAAAACCACAATGAGATACCACCTTACACCAGTTAGAATGGCTAGAATCCAAAAGACAAGAAATATCAAGTGCTGGCGAGGATGTGGAAAAAAAGGAACCCTCACGAACTGTCGGTGGGAATGTAAACTGGTGCAGCCACTATGGAGAACAGTATGGCGGTCCCTCCAACAACTAAAAATAAAAGTACCATATGATCCAGTAATTCCACTACTGGGTATTTACCCAAGGAGAACTAAAACACTAATTTCAAAAGATGTATGCACCCCTATGCTTATTGCAGCATTATTTACAACAGCTGAGCTATGAAGGTAACTAAGTATCCATCAATAGATGAATGGATAAAGGAGATAAATACATATGCGCGTGCGCGCACACGCACACGCACAGGAATATTACTCAGCCATAAAAAAGAATGAAATCTTGTAATTTGGAACAACATGGATGGACCTAGAGGGTATTACGCTAGGTGGAATAAGTCAAAGAAAGAGAAATACCACATGATTTCACTTCTATGTGGAAACTAAAAAAAAAAAAAAATGAACAAACAACAATAACAGAAAAGAGAAACAGAAAAAGAGAAACAGACTCGTGGAGAACAAATTAGTTGCCAGAGGGGAGGGGAGTGGGAGACAGGCAAAACAGGTGATAAGGATTAAGAGGTATAAACTTCCAGTTATAAAGTAAGTTATGGGGATAATGAGTACAGCAGAGGGAATATAGTAATAGTATTGTAATAACTGTGTGATAATAGATGGTAACCACACTTCCCATGGTGAGCATTTCATAATGCACACAGTTGTCGAATTACCTGTTGCAAACCTGATTTATGTCAACTATACTTAAATTTTTAAAAAACACCGAACCGTACACTTAAAAATGGTTAAAATGGTAAATTTATATATGTTTAAATAATTCTGGAAGTAAAAAAAAAAAAAAACCCAAAACTACAGAAGCCAAGTGTCCATCCCAGATGTACTGAATGTTCTCCTGGTCTAGCTGATTACTGGAACTTCGACTTCCTCCCCTGATAGTACCCCATAGAGCAAAGCTTATCTGAGTTTTAATGTCACTTAAAAGAAACCCTGTGTCCCTCACTTTACCTTCAAATTTAATCTGTCATTCCTACCCTGGTAGGTAACTTGGCACCATGGAGCAGCATGTTGTCTGCTGGTCTTAAAGTAGGCCAATATCAGGCAAACTATCGAAATAGACCCGGGTCTGTACTTGCTATGTCGCCTCCTACTGAAACACTTCCATCACATTATTTAATCCACCTGCCTACCTTGTGGGCAATGAAAAAGAAATGATGCGAAGCACAGGGCACAATGTCTGGCACCATGGGAAATAAATGTACACACACGTACATACACACATACACATACCCCTCCTTGCCCACGTTTCCTTCTAATGGGCCCTGGCTTATGTTCTACATTCTAACCAAACTAGCTTAGGGTAAGTTCTGGAAGGCTCATCAGCCCCCACCTCTAAGCTTTTGCTTGTGCCACTTACCTGCTATTCTGGAATGAGCTAGAAGGACACACTATCTTTCCCTACCCTGCACAAACATTACCTTCGGAGCATCTGCTTTTCATATTAACCTATTAAGTTTTCTCTCAACTGCCTATTATGAAAAGTTGTTTATAAATATGTTTTTGTGTTAATTCCTAAACTTCTCTCTCCTCTCTCCTAATAACTTATATGTTCTTTGAGGACAGGGACTACAACCTTCCCTTCATTTATAAGTGTAAGGATCCAGAAACACTTTTCTGCTATGACAGTTCAACTGTATTATCTTTCAGTAGGAATAAAACCATAGGATTTCCCTGGGGGGAGGGGACACAATTGAGAAACAGCTGACATGTTCATTGTGGTACCTGTTTTTAGCCTGATACCTGCTAAGAATCATAGTACTGATTTGGGGCAAAATGCACATAACACAGAATTTACCATGCTAACCACGTTTAAGTGCACCGCTCAGCAGCACGAAGAACATTCACACTGTTGTGCAGTCATCACCACCATCCAGCTCTAGAACTCTTCCTGTCTTGCAAAACGAAATCTCTGTATCCATTAAACACTAACTCTTCCAGTCCTCTCTCCTACCTCCGACCTCTGGCAACTAGCATTCTGCTCTCTGTCTCCGAGAATACCTTGCGTAGCTGGGTCGTTCAGTACCTGTCCTTCTGTGACTGGTGTACTTCACTCACCACAATGTCTTCAAGGTTCATCCAGCCTGCAGCACGGGCCAGAGCTTCCTTCCTTTTTAAGGCTGCACGGTACTGATTTTTGAGGGGGAAAAACAACCCTGCACATATGTCTTAACAGATTATTTATTAATATGTCATTCTAAACATTACATAAATACAGCCTATACACTAGAGTATCAAACATTGTTCCAGTAAGAAGTTCAAGAGGACATTGAGGGCTATCTTAAGAAATATGAATACTTTGGCTTTCATTATTACATCAGATGAAAAAAACAATTCAAAGAACAGTTTTCATTTCCTGCTATGATTAACAATAAAACCAAGTAGAAAAGTAAGAGTGTATTAAAAAAAAGATACTCAAGTACTTTTCAAAGAACTCATTCCCCTTTTCTTCACTACATACATACTCATACAAATTACTCAGTAATCTACTATGAGAAGTGGTTCTTCACCTATCTAAGGAACCTCAGTAAATATTTGTTGAATGAATGAACAATCTATGGAAATGAATCTACTAGTTTCATTTGTGGGGTTTTTTTTTTCCAAGTAAGAGCAATAGTAAACCTACTGAAGTTCTTCTTTGTCCAGATCATAAGCCTATGGAACAGTGATTGTTACAAACACTACCCATCGTAGCTAATAATCAAATTAATGTGCATTTATTAACCTAGTAAGAAAAAGTCTATCATGTTGCAGAACTAATTCTAATGTAATACTTGATTGGGCTTCAATCACCTGTGATATGGTCAAGAAAAGGGAACTGGGACTGCTAGGTTTGTAATTATCTATCAATGAACTCCTATCTTCGAGCGCTCACTCCCACCCAACCCCCTCCCCCACACTTCGAAACACTGCTAAAAATAGCAGCTGCAGCATATCTTCACCCTCTTGTTAATTTGGCTCTGAAAATGTATTCAGGCTCCAAGTTCAGATGAGGGAACTTCCAAGCAGGGAAGAGTTCACTAGGGAGCGCCCACAAATGGAAATGAGTCCATGGGCCGGAGCAGAACAAAGCTTTGTTCTTACAGCAAGCTCAACGGACACACGTGATAAAACCGAGAGTTGAACACTCTTCCTCCCAAAGTCACATTTCATAAGCAGACCAAAAACAAAACAAAAAAACAAAAACAAACTGAAAAGACCCTTTTAAGTTGGATCTTTTCAGGAAAACCATAATTTTGATCCTTTTTTGAAGTTAAATTGTGCTAAATATTATACCTAACACAATTAAAAGATGAAAGCTGCTGACGTTACAAATAAGCAAATTTGTGATGCTTGACCTAGATAAAAGAGCTAAAACAAACTCCAAGAAGTCCTGCCAGAAAGGTGGTTTTAAGAACCGCTTCTCTGAGTCAGATGTAGCAAATCTGATGATCTAGCAGCCGTAATTTAGGAAGGCAAGAGTATACTGAATATGTCATTACTCTCCTCTTATGATGAGCATTTAAAGCGGGAAGCGGTGGGGAAGCAATTTAAACTTCAGTTCTCAGACTTTGTCTTAATGAAATAAAACACTGTTGGATAGTAGTGGAGATTCTAATTTATAAAATATTGACGTTTGTGCAAACAAAGTTTCTTTCACGATCAACTTTTCACAGGTAGTCCTAAATTACTACTCTTTATGTGCTTAAGTCTGAAGAGAAATCTTGGCTAACCTAGAAGTTTATCTTTACATAATCATCACCTCAATAGGTTTAACTCCTATTAAACTGATTATTACTTTGATACACTATGAAGTTAAAAAAGGTCCTCAGTAGTGCAAACACAAAAGTCTCAAACTATCTTTACGTCTTCACAGTATGGCTAGTGAACTAGCAACTAATGCAGCATTTCAACAAGCCCCAAAGTCAGCATCTTTAATTCATGGTGGGGCCTCTCTGACTATCCCACAATTCACAAACTGTCCCAAATTCCTGGTGTCAAAGGGTTGTCAATATGTGAACCAGGAGAATTACCACAGACTTCCCCTTTCCAAGTTCAAAAGTTCCTCTAATCAAAAACAAAACAAAAGAACAAAGAAACAACACTTTCACCCCTTTACAATGTTCCAGCCAAATTAAGGTTACGTTTAAAATATACATATCTGGAAACAAGAGTTGTTCAAAATCATCCTTCATATATTCCTACACAGAGAATGGTGTCTCAGATGTGGGGGGGGGGGGACCTGATGGGTTTTTTACCTGCAAAATTACATCACCCGCAGAGCACAAAGGACGCATCATCGCCCGTGCCCGGAGCACTCACAAAACCCAGCAGCCTTGGGCTTCAGTTCTTAAAGGCTCCACATTTACTGGCTTTAGCAATGAATTCCTTTAGCAGAGGGCCATCCATTTGCCAAAATGCTGCAGTCTGTGTAACTTCTGTCAAATGATTGATGCAAAACTTAAAGCAGAATTCTTCTAAATCCTGGACACACACAACAAAAATAAAAACAAGAAGAGGCCTTTTTTTATTAACTTTGATCAAATTACTTCTATCCAAACCCCTCATCCCAAATCTTTCACCCTCCCCTAGAAAAGACATTTGAGGCCAGAAACCTCAAACTAAGCAAACAAGTGACCATAGGTAGGTATCAGAAAAGCACACACTATTTAGTTAAAACATAGTGAAAGCAACAATTCCACTACCTCAAGTCTGACTCTTCAAAACACACACCCATTCACACAGCCTATGGGGGCGGGCAGCTTCTACAAGGCTACCACACAGTCTAGTCACATGCAGACTTTGTCTTGAGAAGCTGAGAGCATACACCTGAAGCTGATACAATATTGTCTATCAATCATCTGCAATAATAATTAAAAACAAAGCTGAAAGCAACTTCAGTCCATCATACGTGTAAACACAGTCAAGAAGTCCGAGAAAAGAATTAAGATTTAGCTTAAGGAAGATTTTAAGAAACAGAAAAGTGATAAAGAGATGTCCTCAAGAGACACATTAAAAAAGAAAAAAAAATTCCAAGCACCTTAAATCCACTGCTGTGCTCTCCTAGATAAAATGCCTTCATTCTTAAAGCCACAAGGAATAATACACTACTACTCCCACCAAACTAATTCTCATTCTCAGTCAATCCAGAGAATATTCAGAGATTGGAGTTTTTAGTCAGACGAATGAAGTCATCAGCTACCAACACTCAGAAGAAAAGTGATATACACAAGTGGTAAACCAGAACAACTTAAAAATCTGTTTCCGCCAATGCTAATACAGCCTTTCATCCCCAGCAAAACCGCTACTGTTTGTTCCTTTAAACACTGGAACATACATTTATTAAATCAATTAGGTACTGGAATGTATACAAAGTCTAAATATGTAACAGCAAATCACACTGAAAGCTCTTACCACAAATACCTTGATTTTTTAATTTTGCCAGCTATACCGAAGGTCAGTACTCAGGGTTCTATCAAACCAGGAACTCAACAACATTTAAACTGCAGCAAGACTTGGTCTCATGTTTCCAAGCCACTGTGAAATGAGAAATTTTAGGCAGGGTGGGGGAGGGCCCACACAAACACAGAGACACATCCCTTTCTCCTCTCTGTGCAGATCCCTGCAAGCAAATACTTCCTTCTTCTACGGGTCCCTCTGTCCTTAGCTGAATGAGGTTCCCTTCCGGTCATATCACTGGTAAGAGATAAACCACATCTAATGTTTATCAGTCAGCTGCTGCCAGAGTTTTTTCTAGATAATTCACAATGCATTTAAAATATAGGCACAATCTTTGCATCAAAGTTTTTTAATAAGAGAGTCTCCGTGGGCTGAAGTACAACTGAATGTTCTGTGTTCTGTGTATTATAATAAACTAAAACGTTAAACTATATAAAACATTCCCTCTCATGTTACTATTAAAGAAAAAGCCCTCTCCTGGTATTACAACCCAATGATTAAGAAACAGCTTTAGGAACTAAATTATATATATATATTTTTAAAGATTTTATTTATTTATTTGAGAGAGAGAGAATGAGAGATAGAGAGCACAAGAGGGAAGAGGGTCAGAGGGAGAAGCAGATTCCCCGCTGAGCAGGGAGCCCGATGCGGGGCTCGATCCCGGGACTCCAGGAGCATGACCTGAGCCGAAGGCAGTCGCTTAACCAACTGAGCCACCCAGGCGCCCCAGGAACTAAATTATATTCTACAAAGAGATCAAAGTCATTTCAAACTTACTTATCAAAAATAGAAAACTAGTTTTTCTACACATACTTGAGGAAGAAATAACCAGTCATAAGCACAGAAAGTTTCTTCAAACCATGCAATGTAGCAGATAAGAATCTTTTTTTTTTTTTACGTTTGGTTTTTTTTTTTTAAAGATTTTACTTATTTATTTGAGAGAGAGAGAGAGAATGAGAGAGAGCACGAGAGGGAAGAGGGTCAGAGGGAGAAGCAGACTCCCCGCTGAGCAGGGAGCCCGATGCGGGACTCGATCCCGGGACCCCAGGATCATGACTTGAGCCGAAAGCAGTCGCTTAACCAACTGAGCCACCCAGGCGCCCAAGAATCTTTAAATATTAACTTTGAATTACATAATTTCAAATTCAAAGACTCACTAAATTCTGGCATTGTAAAACCTTATCACTTCCATGTCTACAAATCTGGAATTCAAGCTCTTTAGAGTCCACGTGAAAAAGTGAGTTTATCCAGTTTACTAATTATACAGAGATTATCTTGGGTATAAACTGTAAGAACTTTTTATGTAGTACAGGTATACAAAGGGTGCCTCTGGTTACAAATCACTGCATACATTTATGAAAATGGCTCTATCAAACTGCCTTCCCTTCCCCTCCAACTAGTTTGAATTGGTGAGATATCTCAGTATTCAAAAAACGTCCTGCAGTTTCAAACATTAAAAGTTAAACTAGAGAATCCTGAAAATAATCTGAATCTGGGTTAAACAACTAATCGTTTAATAACTGAATCTTGCTTAAGGCAGATCTATGGAAAAGGAAGCACGGAATGCACTTGGAAAGAGAGAAACTGTTTGCAAGTTCAGTTGCACGAACCAGAGTGGCCCAGCCAAGCAATTCACTTAGTAGCCAATGCCCTGAGCCAGGTTGCCTTTGCTTCGATATGTAAATGAAACTATTTTTCTGATAATTCTTAAATATTTGAAGAAGCTACATGATCTGTTCACCTTATTCTGCAAATGATCACATCTTCAATACCCAGAAAAGAAAGTGCAACTCTTACCCAGCTAATAAGTTAACTCTAACAGGACTGCTGGGCTTTATACAAAACACTTCCCAGAAAACAAGAAGGATCACCAGACCAGTAGATGAAAAAAGTTCATAATAGGCTGAAAGCATCTTCTTAAAGCCCATGGAATACAGAAGTGGGAGAGGGTGCAAAATCAGGGGCTTTAAAACGATATTCTTGGTATTTTAGTAACTAAATCCCTTATTTATGACATTTTGTGGTGAAATTATTCTAAAGTGGTTCTGAGGCAAATCAGGTGAAATATCAGATTTGTTGTAATTAGCAAGGAAGCTCAAAATGAATTGCTATTCTGAAATAATTTATAAATTCATTCCAAATTTTTAAAATTATTCCAATAACTTATATATTCCAAAAATAACTTGTTTTTCCTTTCCACAGATTTTCTTTAGTAACAAAGTAAAACAGAGACAATTGATGGTCTTAATATCCACATTTTTTTAAAATGCCACTGCAGCCTAAATGAACTTCTTAACCAGTCCTAAATCCCCGAAAGCTAAAATAACTGAATGCTAAGAATTCTATCGAAGACCACTTGGCCAGGGTGAGACAGGCTCCTATGTGTCAACCAGCCCCACTTGAGCTGCATTCCATATGGCAAGATGGTGAACCACACCTACCTCTATCCAAACTTGTTAAAGTAGTAACAAAACCCCAAAACCATAAGTTTAGAATTTATAATATATATCAGGTACAAAATATGCCAAAGTGGTCTTTGGTTTGGTTTTTTAGAATTTACTTAAAATGTCTTGCTACCTAGGACAAAATAAAGAAAGGTGCTTTGTCTCACTAACTAAACAATATTTTATAGTCTACTGATCATGGAAAACTTTTAATTTCGGAAAGAAGAAAAAAATGCTGACCATCAGGCTTTAGCACAAAACTTTTCACTACCGATATCCCAAACCAATTTTGGAATTAGATTCCTGGCCTTCTATTTATGGCTTCCCACCAACAGCAAAATATTAGGACGTAAGTTACTCAGCAAGTAGGATTTTCTGGAAAGCGCTCTACTCTGGTTCCCAACTACTTCTCCTAATGTTCAAATATACACAGAAAACAAAAATTTCCTGAAAACAGTATAAATAAAAACATTGCAAACTTGTGTGGTGAGCTATAGAACTATTCTGACACAGTGTTTCATTCACGTTTTGTCCCTTGATGGCAATGCTCACTTGGGTCTGTACTAAACGAATACTTAGGCACTCCCCTGCCAAGTCGTTCCTCAGCTAAAACTTGCAGAAAGTCGGACAACGCACTCGTGACACAAGGGCTCCACAAGCAGCTTCCTTAAAAAAAAAAATCTTAACTACTGCAGTCAATACATTTTTGTTGCTTTTATGTGCATATGTTTGCTTCGAAATTATCTTGTCAAAGGGGGTAGAGAGGAACCTCAAGAACTCACAGAAAAGAGAAAGAATGTGAGAAGCATGCAGGCTCCATCTTCCTAGCATGTGAACCACAGAATGAAGGAAAAGTCATGGGGTCTCCCTAAGCGGAGCCTCTGAAAGTCAGTCAATTTTTTGGCAGTTAATTTCCAATCTGACTTAATAGAAGCTTCCCATCAACTAACAGATAGAGTGGGTTTTATTTTTATATTCTAAACACTTCATTTATTTACTTACTATAGTCTATAGCATTAAGGAAATACAGTGTAAAAGTACATTAGTCAATTACAGAACTATAAGAATCTAAAAAAAATAGCTTAGAAAGAAGGTGATTCTTCCTCCTTTTGTCTTCTATTTTCTAATTTTTCTACATTGAATGTATAACATTTGTGGGGATGGGGTTTTGTTTTGTTTTTTTCATTTTTTAAAAAGCACACCTTTGTGGTGAGGTATTTCAAATTCATTTAACTCTTGCGTGCCAAGTCAAATGACCATCCTGTGACAGACTCAAGGGAATCACATATATTTTCAGTCTTAAGGAAGGGACAGAATTTCATGTGTCTCTATTTTATACGAGGAAAATGAAAACCAGTAATAAAAAAAAAAAATGACCGCTTGGCATGGGTAGAAGTGGCACGAGGTTTTTTTCTGTGACTTTTTGGGGTAAGTTTTAGCTTAGGGAGAAAGAAGTTTCCAGCACCGAGAGCTGAGATGTTTGCCTCTGCCCCAAGGGTTCTAACTCATTTTAGTCAGCAGTACCCTAACCCCAGGAATAGGGAACTCATTAGCAGTGAAGAGGAGTAGGGAGACACACAGAGCAGATATTAAAGTCAATTAACAAACGGACGGAACAGGCATCGACCGATTTAAAATCGTATCACTGGGTAGAATGCAACCTAAAGAAATAGCACTTCTAATAAAGAAGTTCATGGTGTCACAGAAAAGGTAAAAAAAAAAAAAATCTATACTTCCATTTCCTATTAGACATAATTTACTTTGATCATCACTCCATCTGTTGCCAGGCCACAGAGAAAGTCAGCTATTTGACCTTATTAAATATTTATAATCATAATCTCAAATAAAAATAGGATACATTTTGAAAATAAAAGACATAATGTTCCATTTTGATCCCTAAGTGTGATAAAGATGAAGTCTGTCTTCCACCACACCAAGGCCACAATTACAGATCTCTGAGGGTGTTTGGTAAATCCCGATACCAGGTACTCTGCCTTGTCAAATGATGACAAAGCACCTCTAGAATGGGCTAATTGTGTCACTAAAGGTGCATGCCTTAGCTGGACATCCTGAACTCCAAGGCTATTGCTCTCTACGCTTTATTCTCTATAAATTTATAAAACCAACCAGACCAGCCTTAAGTTCACTAATTATCCTTAATGCATCCTTCAGGTGGTACCATAGTCATTCAGTTCAACAAACATTTATTATCCAGTGCCTACTATGTGCCAGGCACTACAGGGTACACAGATGAATAAAAAACAGTTTCTGCTTATGAGCAGCTTACAATCTGATGACACTGTGGTTCTTAACTTCAAGAAAATACACTAAACACAAAATTTCAGACTCCCCAAAGCCCATTCATTCATAGATCCTCTAGAGATCCATAAATCCTAGATTAAGAATTCAGTCCAGTGCAAAACCAACCATTCACAACCAAACGCACAAACAAAAAGGAGCCCAGACCAAGTTCTTCACACGTGAATGAGTTATAATTAGACAAAGACAGAATTTCAGAGCATACACAGATATGAATCATACAGCATCCTTGGCTTACAACAGGATAGAGTTAGGGAGATGGCAAAGTGGGTCTTGAAAAAAATAGATAAGCTGACCTTGAGTAACACCCGAAACTACAAATGGCATCAATCCAACTGGGTAGGACACTTTCTATTCCAACCCGCAGTACAGCTGCTTGGACCTCAGGTTCTTTTCTTAGTCAAAAATGAAAGTAGAACAACAACCATTTTTGAAACTATGAACACAAAATAAACAAGCAAGGCCAGCTTTCATTTTTTTTAGGGATCAGTCAGTTCATAGATTCCCTAAATAGAAATGAAATTACTCTTGTTCCTTGTCTCATGCAAGAAAAGTGGGGGGCAGGCCATGAGGAGTTGGAGGGGGGGGTTTCTGTTCGTTATTTTATGTTACCTCTGCATCGTATCTGACTGCAGCAGAGAACAGTGAAAAGGCATTCTCCACGGTAATTCCGCGCTTGATAATGTGCTGACAAAGCTTTCTCAGTCGGTTTTCACAGTAAGACGTGGCCAAGTCCAAAAGACCTAAAAGCAAGAAGTATGGAAGGTTTAATCAAGTTTATGATAATTTCCCATAATTTATAAACATAAATATTTTATTTTGGTGCAAAGAGTTATGTAGATAAATCAACAGAAGTTTCTTAGTGAGTAATACTCTAAATTTTATTAAATAAATCCTCTTTTTCACTCCCTACCTCCCCCATCCCAAAACAGACCTCTCCTACACTTACTTTATACATCTTCTTCTACAGTACAAAGGAAGGGGAGTAAATGGAATTCCCCCCTCATTTTATTTCCAAGATGATGTATTAAATGCACTAGCAATGTATACTTCAGTATTAACAGAATGAAAATAAATCCACAGGCATAAACTTGTGTCCACAATTATTAACCATAATAACTATATAACATTTGTCAAGACATTTACTTCAAATACTGTCTAAAAACCAATCAACTTGACACTTTTTACACTTCAGTGCTGTAAGAACATGACGAGAGAGATCCGTGACCGCGTGGCTTGGCCCGTCCGGTGGGCTGAGGTACCTATAGCATCTTCAGGCGGCAGGTCCACTGTGTCTGTGTAGAGGTACTGGAGAAAGGCACGGTACACTGGATAAGAAAACTGGTCTATTTCTATCACCTCCTTCATATCCTCATTCCAGTAAGACTGGAACATGGACCGAAAGTGCTCACACCTAAACAGAACACAGAAAGTTACCTAAGGAAGTTGCCGCAGTCAGGTAAATATTACAGGTCTCCTTAACTACTCCTATCCTTGGGCCCACACGCACCAGGATCATGGATCTTCAGCTAGCATAGGCTTTCACATTCACCTTTTGCATATTTTCACTTTCATTTTTTGATTAGGATCTATCAAATATTAAGAATTATAAATTATAAATATAATATAAAAATTATATTAAGAATTATACTAGCACCTCCAGTGTTCCACCGTCTCCATTTGACAGTCCTCATTCAGATCAAGTATTCTGCTTACTTGTTTTTCTTAAACAGTGTTGTACAGAAATGCATTTTAAACAATGAAATTAAAAGAAATTCAGAAATGAGAGTTCAAATCTTTGACTATATATCAGCATCATTCAAATAATTTATTTGGCTTTTAATTTTCATGTAATCAGCATATTCTTAAAATGGCTTTAAATGCTAACTGGATTACATTTAGGCTAATTATTATCCCATTACCTTACATGATAATTTTCCTTTTTTTCTGACACATCTTCAAAACAGCCATCAGTCCTATTTTGTTCCTCTGCTTTGACCTGCTCCGTTTCCAATCTTCCCAAGCCTGTTACCAACTTACTTACAAAACACATTCACCAGGAGAGTCACAGATTTCAAAAAAAAAAAAAAAACCTAAGTCGGTCTTTTTAGGTTGTATTTGCATGTAAAAAGCCACCTATATGAGGAACTGATTTCTAAATACTGGTTTTTCTTAAGTATGTAATATACTTCAGTTTTAAAACGTCATCTTTTCAAATCCTTTTAAAATGAGATACGGTGTAAATAAACATAGAATATTTTCAAAATCCATTCACAACTAAAAATGGTTCCACCTACGTAACACATTACTTCATCTGAGAAGCAAAAAGAAATAGTTGTTTAGGCAAGGAATGACAAATTAAACAGGAAAATGAAAGGAATAGACTGACTGACCACAGGTTCACAGAAAGGAACATTTCCAGTTCACCTTTTATTAACTTTGGTTCAGATATTTACTCTCTCAGTAGTGACTAACATATGGCTTTTTGGTTCCCTTAAAAAGTATTATTTTGTGAAAAGGTTTTCAACTAAATTTCAAAAGGGACTTGTAAACGGCCAGTTTAACTCTCAATGGTCTCCCTTCATGAGCCTCTCTCAGTAATGGCAGCCTCAGGGAGCAAGAGTCCAAACCATCTACTGCCATCTACCTGCCATCTACTCTATCTAAAGAACATTCCTTTAATTGGAAATTAGATGTCCCTCAGGGCCAGAGGTCCATCATTCCTGACCATGAGAGTTTTCTGCTTGGGGAAAAAGGAATCTTTATGTGTAAAAGAGGACATACACATTTTTCACTAACAATCTTTTGTATTTTTTTAAGCATGTAAATAAATTTGTCGATGGAAATAAATATTCACAAGATCCTCATTTAAAACAATATAAACTGGGCACCTGGGTGGCTCAGTCAGTTAAGCGTCAGACTCTTGATTTTGGCTCAGGGTGTTGGGATCAAGCCCCGCATCACCCAGGGTGGAGCCAGTTTGGGATTCTCTCTCCCTCTTCCTCTGCCCCTCCTCCCAACCCTGGCTCAGAGAGCACGTGTTCTCTCTCTCTCTCTAAAAAATAGGAAAAAAAAAAAAACCAACACAATATAGACAAATATTTACACTACCACATTATGCCTTTTCAAAAAGGCTCATGAGTGCACACTCATACACACATGCAAAACTCTTCAATAATGCATGGATCCCATTCATAAAAAACATTAAGTCGTACCATTTCTCTCTACTGACAAGACTGTTCCTTATCAGTCCCCATTTTTGGACTAACAAAAACATGGAGATTGCAAAAAAGAAAGGTTACTGATGTCTCTAAGCTCATGCAAAAATACCTGATTTTCAAAACAGCTTTATGGACATGGATGTATTTCCCATCGATTCGAAACTTCAGATCAGCAGTTTCTGGACTATCAAATTCTTTCTTCAGTGATTCGGCAACTGTTAAAAAGTCTTCATGCTCTGAAGGCAACAAACACATTATTAATACAAAAAGCTCAGGAAATGTGGTAGAGATATGAAAGACTTCAAAAAGATAACCATCAGCATGACAGGCAATTCCATCAGATTTTTTTCAAGAGTTCATGCCTTATTTGACAAATCAACTTCACTGTATCAAGATTAAGTATCTTGAGTCTATAAACTACCAAAAATAAGTAGTTGGAAAGGCCACTTACCAGTCTTACATCCTAGGTTAGACATTTTAAAATATATATTTTTTAAAAGAAGAAAAAGTTACAGGCAGTCCACGATTATATAACTACTTATTTTAACACTTTAGTGGTTCTCTTCGGGGACTAAGAATTTATCAATTTTCCTACTTCAGGGGTAGTTTCAAGGGGCTGGTAAATTCAACTGAAGTTGTGTCAAGAAACAAATTTACGAGTGAAGTAATGCCATGCAGTCATGTTCTTACACAAGGAAACCCTACTTCCTAGGTATGTGGAATCTCAACATCCCTTTTAATCCCAAAGATCAATGGACAAACAATAATCCTTGCCTGCTATCTAAAAACAGAGCAAACCAACTTAGTAACCATTACAAGGGAACAGTTTTACAAAAAGCTGGTCACGCTGCCTGGTAAGAACTGCTGGAATGATTATTTGTAAGTCGAACTGTGTCCTCACGAAAAAAACTAAAGGCACTTGTAAAATTAGGTAACACTTTCCTGTGCTGTAAATGCACAGGTAGAAGGCAAACAGGAAAACAAAAACAATCCCAGAGATCACTGGCAATGCGCGCAGGTGCTGGGGACACAGGCCCCTAGGATGAGAAGAGAGCGTGTCTCTCGGCAGCCTGCTGCTCTTGGAGCAGGGACATCTGCTAAACTGAGGCTGAAACTTAATAAAGAAGCTTACCCAGGAGTTTTACTATCAGACTCTCCCAAGGAAATGGCATTTGCCCAAGCCCTCCCCCGGGCTCCTGCAATGCGGAGCTTTTCTTGGCTATGGAGGGAAGCGGACAATCTCTCAAAAATCAGGCTTTCCCTGACCCTATCACCTGGATCCCTGGCAAATAAAAGAAAGGACATGACTAAGATGGGCACGGAGTCCAAGGATGGAGATAGCTCCCCGCTGCCCCATTCACAAAATAACTTCATACCAGCCCCCTCTACTCCTGCATCAGTCCTAAGACCTGAATAACCCTCTTCCCCCTCTTGGTTTCTGGCAACAAGTACAATACCTTCTTCCAGAGAAGAAATATTCTTCAGAGGTGTTTCTTAACCATCTGAGACTTTCTTTCTAATGCTCACTTGAGATGGTAAACTGAGAGAAAAAAACTTTTCTGACTTTTAGTGGGTAGATGGGAAAGAAGTCATCTAGGAGATATACTGAATGATCCTCTCCTCCAAACTTAGCATTCAAAAATGTTACAACTTTTGTTCTGAAAAGGATGTCTTTTCAGGATTAGGATTTTGAGAGGCAAATACCTGGAGCAGCTTTTTGTAAACAGGCCCTGGTTAAGCAGCACACGGGATTCTGAAGATGTACACAGTGCTTGGCTGTGCATGCTACACATATGTGTGATTATGGCCAAACAGTCCCATTGTGTAAACCAACTTTTTTCAAATCACAACATTCACTGCAAAAAAATATGGTAGGTGCACCTGGGTGGCTTAGTTAAGTGTCCAGCTCTTGATGTCGGCTCAGGTCAGGATCTCAGGGTTGTGAGATCGAGCCCCACATCGGCTCCATGCTGGGCGTGGAGCCTGCTTGAGATTCTCTCTCTCCCTCTGCCCTTCCCCACCCTCCACACACTCTCTCTTAAAAAAAAAAAAATGTGTATATTGTATTATTGTTAAAGAACCTGGAAATGTTCAACTTATTTCACTTCAAACTGAGCAGCAGCTTAACTCTTCCTAAACATACTCTTGCCCCCATGACCATAAAGACTGATCATCTGATAATGAGACAGCCACGGCTAGCTGTCTGGCTCACCTTGAGCATGACATGCATGACAAGACTGGCCTCGATACCACCTGCTAAAGCAGCCCAAACCCCATAGCTGACAAGAGCTACATTAATTTTCAAGCACGGGGCCAGCCTGACCCACTTGTTCCTCTGCATATAAAGAACTTAGGAGAAATACATCAGCAAAGCGGGCAGAAATGAACAAGAAATGAAAGAAAAAGAGATTGAACTCATCTTGTTGATGGCTACTCAGCTTTATGACACCTTACCATTTTCCATCGATGGACTCTTAAGACAATATTCAGAAAAGGGACAGACTACATAACCAAAGATCACCCTAAATTATAGTACCCTCTAAAATACCTTGGTTTTTATGCCCTTCTGAAATAAAAATATTTGAGATGGCTTGAAAGAAAAAGGGGAAAAGAAAGTGGAATTAACACATCACCCTAAAAATTACAAGTTTTTCATTTTTTAAGCTCACTTTTAGTTCATATTGAATTATGTAATAGGTCTAGTATGACAAAAGCACTTAAAAACAGGTTACTCCAAGATTTGTATACAAATGTTTATAACAGCACTATGCATAACAAAGGTGGAATCCATCCAAATATCCATCAACAGATGCACGGAAAAACAAATCGTGGTCTATACATACAACGGAATTTCATTCAGCCATACAAATGAAGCACTGTGTGCTACAACATGGGCAAGCTTTAAAAACATTAAGTAAAAGAAGCTAAACCCAAAAGGTCACACATTCTATGATTCCATTCATAGGAAATGTCCAAAATAGGGAAATCCCTAGAAACTAAAAGCAAAGACGTGATAGCCAGGGATGGGGGTTAGAGAGAATGGGGAGTGACTGCACAGGTACAGGGGTTTCCTTCAGGGAGATGGAAATGTTTCAGAACTTGGATATAAATGGCAGTTGCACAACACTGAGGACGTACTGAATGCCTCTGAATCGTACACTTTCGAATGGTTAACTTCATGGACGGAAATCTCACCTCAATTAAAATGAAGCACTGAAGGGGAGAAAACAATAAGTAATATTTTAAAACCTATGAATGAATTTTATTATGCAAATCTATTTTGAGGAAAGGAATTACAGCTATTGGAGAATAAAACATTCTAGAACCTGACAGAGCAACCATAGAAAGAGAAATAGAGTGGTCAGTTGCTAGTACCGCTCTTCCTGGGCAGGAGCCCCGAGCTTTCTCACCTACGGACAGGAGGCGCCACGAGACGGCAGGCGTGGCAAAGCAGGCGAACACGTCGTCGGTACAGGAGAAGTGGGTGAGGTGGGGCAGGATCACCGACTGGCCCCGGCACTGGCCCCACATGTACACGTGCCCGCCCTGGGTCTTGGCCGCCGACGTGTGCGCGGAGTGGCAGGCCGCGATCTCTACGACCCTGAAAAGTTTTAAGAAAAACGTATGTCATTTCTTTATCACAGAAGCCGACAGCACACCACACAAGGCAGATAAAGGGGTCATGCTTACAACACCACAAAAAACAGCCCAAGACTGAGGGATATTAGTTATCAGGTCATAAGAACAAAACTGAAAGATCACAACAAGAGTAGTGTGTTTTTCCCTTGCTTGCTGCCCCACTTCTCATCCTAAAGTCATTCTGAATTAGGATAAATAACACAAACTGTTGAGGACAATTTGGAAAAAGGCACTAGAAACCAAAGTAGATGAGGAAAGTGGACAGAGGCAAAATGTCCTGACGTTTCGGGGGGGGTGTGGGGGCTTAGACAGTAGGAAAAAAAAAATAGTGTCTTCAATATGCCATTTCCTTGATACAACTTTTTCTCCCACCCCCTAAATAAGCACGAGTCTCGGGGTAATGGACTCTGAACATCCTAATCCAAATGGACATCAAGCCAAACTTACATTTCTCAGTATGCTTCTTAGGCCAGGTCCTACAATCAGAAGTTAACCCTCTAAAACTTAGTGAGCAAGGACTCACAATTTGGCTGAACAAACAAAGCATCTATTCCAGTAACACATATTAAATCAAATCAATATCTAAATAGATAATGTCCTTTTAAGAGATTTTATTTATTTAGAAGTTGTTTTAGTTGGCTCAAAGTCAGTACTATACTCTGATTTTCTACCTGGTGACAGACCCTATTTTACTTCCCTACTAGATGGGCCACAAGAAGGCAGTAAGAATTACACCAAGATGCATTAATGCCTATCAATCACAGGAGGCTACTTTAGAGAGCTGCATTAAGAATCACATCAACTTCATGTTCCCTCTGGCTGCTACTCAAACTCTTGTTCAAAATGACAATGTTTAGAAACAGAAGAGTTACAAAAGCCAAACCCCATAGCTCAGCACACACAGCCCCAAATCCAAAACCACACACACAACCCCGAGACACGGTACAGCCCAGTTACCTTTCTTTCTCCACCATGATGTGGGCGGGGCTTAACAGGTTATTTTTATTGCCAGTTCCCAGCTGCCCGTAAGTGTTAGCCCCCCAGGCATAGAGCAGGCCCTCATCTGTTAGTGCTAGAGTGTGTGCATAGCCGCAGACAATCTGCAAGTAAATGTAAATGGTTACCATCAACAGGAAAACAGGAAGGGCAGAAGAAAACATCTACTTAAAGATCACAGCAAGCTTCTGCAGAATGCCAATTCATCATCAGGTATGGACTGACATTCTCAGAACACTGAAAAAGCATTAGAAAAGCCCAACACTGAGACTACTAGATTTTTCCAATCGCTTTTTTTTTTTACTTGTCAAGACTGATGTGTCACCACCATGGTGTTCCTTCTCATCACGGGAATTTAGGGAAGATGAAATTGTAAATGTGGAAGATGAAGGCACACATTGTTTGAAAAGATTTCCTGAAGAGTAAATCCCCAATGTTTCTCCAAGCCGGAGGGGAGCCGCAGCAGAGCCCAGCACACGTACCTGGTTCACACACACGCTGTGCAAAGCCGCCACTCGCACAGGGGTCAGCTGATTGCCATTGTTTCCCAAGCCTAGCTGACCATTGCCATTGTAACCCCAGCCGTACACCTTAGAGAGAGAAAGGGAGAGAACTGGCTTTTAAAACTGTTAGTAAGAGGGAAGATAGAAAAATGCAGTCCACCTAAACAAATCAAGTACTTTTCCACTTCCAACACCCACGTTCTACTGTGATCCCACAGAGATTTTGGGGGTGGGGATGACAGAATTTGGCACGAGTTCCCCTACTCTATAACTTACTGTTTGGATAGCCCTGGGGCAAGGCATTTATTCTTGTTTTATACATGAGAAAGCTAATAATGCTCATTAACAATTATGAAGCACCTCTTAAATGTCAGGACATGATAAAAGGTATAGGAAACTAGAAACTAGAAGTTTTTGGTCGCAGTTTAACAGGAGAGATGGACACTTGCAAAATTTTTGCAGTTAGGTGGCGAGTGCCATTCTAGAGATACAATCAAGGCACTACAAGAGCAGAGAAGAGAAAGGACTTAGCTATAGGAAGCTAGTTTAGGAAACACTTTCAGAAAGCAGATTTGAGCAGAGATAAATGGAAGTGAAGGTATTCCGGGGAGAGGGCACAGAATGTTCTGGAAGCAGGTTCTAAATACGAGCAGGTGGGCCTGGCAAGACACATCCAGCACAGTGACAGGGCGAAAGACTAGAAGGAAAAGCAAAGGCCAAGGGGATGACGTGCCAAAATACATACTAGGGAATGTAAAAAGCATCTATGGGCCTTCCACTGAAATATTTCACACATCTTGGAAAGATCATGCTGGCTGCACATAAAGGGGGCTGGACTATGTAAGACTAGAGGCGGGACAGCCGTTCGGGAGATACATGAGTCTCTCATCAGCACACAGATGCGCTCTGCTGAGGGTCTAAACTATGGGACCCAGAGAGAAGGAATGGACAGGAAAGAGGCTAAGAAGACACAACAGAATGTGGTGACCCCTTCACTCCCCAGAGAGCGGAGTCATCAGCTGAAAGCAGCAGAGCTGGAGAGAGGTTTGCCAGCAGTGGTAAAGGTTTAGAATGGCAAGTGTGGGACACAGGAGAAAGCACTGACTAGGAACAGACTAAAGGTCTGGTCAAATGAGAAACCTGAAATGTCTGGTGGCACCATGACAATGCAAGGCAAACAGATGAATGGGGCTTTTCAGGGCAATGTGACAGAGGGGGAAAGGGGGCAGAGAATTTAGAGTACTAGCAAGAGATGGTTAAAAGCACTTTGCATATCATAAGGCAACAGGTTTCAACTTTCTGCAGAGAAATTTGGCTATCGCTATCAAAAATTTTAATGGCACACCCTCTGACCCAGATATCTTATTCCCATGAACTTATTCTACAGAATACTTACAGAAGTGTACAGGGATACACAGTAACACAGAAAGTCAGTGCTACAATGTTTAGAAAAAAATTTAGAAACATTTGAAATTTCCATTAGTAGAGTTCTGGGTGTGGGTCATCCAATTCGGAAATCTAAGCAGCCATTATAATGGAAAGCAGCTATAAATGGTCTGATAATAGATTCAGGTAAACTGTTGTTAGCAGGAAAGTTGCAAAATAGCAGATAAAAGCAGTACCTATAATAATCCCATTTTTTATGAAAGATAATTACATTCACCCCATACAGAATTTTTTATAGGAAAAAGTCCAAAAAGATATACCTCAAACTATTAACAAGACTGGAGAAAAGGTACTCACTTTTTACTTTACTTTTTACTGTTTCATTTCCTTTCATTTGTGAAAATAACCACATAATTTTTAAATTAAATTTATTTTAAAAATAAAGGAAAAGTAAAGAATACTGAGATGGAGGATGTCCAATGACTATCCCAAGAAATTCTGAAATCATCCAAGATGACATCAGGATTGGTTCAAAAAATAACACTTCTGGTGAACATGGCATGAGGAAGAGACTCATCAAATCAACTGTGTTATACACCTGAAACTAATGTAAAACTGTGCGTCAACTGTACTTCAATTAAAAACAAAACAAAACAAAAAACAAAAAACAAGCTCATATATACAGAGAACAGATTGGTGGTTTCCAGAGGCGGGGGACTGGAGAGCGTGGGCAAAATGGGTAAGGGGGGGCCAAAAGGTACAAACTCCAGGAGCACCTGGGTGGCTCAGTTGGTTAAGCGACTGCCTTCGGCTCAGGTCATGATCCTGGAGTCCTGGGATCGAGTCCCACATCAGGCTCCCTGTTCGGCAGGAAGTCTGCTTCTCCCTCTGACCCTCCCCCCTCTCATGTGCTCTCTCTCTCATTCTCTCTCTTTCAAATAAATAAAATCTTAAAAAAAAAAAGGTACAAACTCCAGTTATAAAATGTCCTGGAGATGTCATGGACAGCATGGTGACTGTAGTTCACAACACTGTACTGCATATCTGATTGCTGAGAGAATAATCTTAAAAGTTCTCATAAGAAAAAAACTATATGGTGACAGGTATTACCTAGACTTACTTTGGTGATCTTTAACTACATATAAATATTGAATCATTACATTGTACACCTGAAACTAACATAATCTACGCCAATTATGCCTCAATAAAAATAATTTAAAAAAAATAAGTTAACATAGGTGAGTATTCAGAAAACTGTAAAATACTCTAGCACTGCAATGCATAACTCACATGTCTGTATCCAAAGACATATCTTTGTGGGGCGCCTGGGTGGCTCAGTTGGTTAAGCATCTGCCTTTGGCTCAGGTCATGATCTTGAGGCCTTGGGATGGAGCCCCATGTCAGGCTCCCTGCTCAGCAGGGAGTCTGCTTCACCCTCTCCCTCCGCCCCTCCCCTGCTCATGCTCTCACAAGCTCTCTCTCTCTCTCAAATGAATAAAATCTTTTAAAAAATCACTTCAAAGACATTATCTTTGTATACTTTTTCTTCACTAAGACATTCATAGGTTGGTAACAGGTCTATTTAAGTAGAAGTTACAACCAGAATAATTGTATAGAAATAACCATCAGCTCAAAGGTAACCATGGTAAAGGGTCACTAAAAGTTGAGTTTGTGTAAAAGTAGCCAACAACAAGTAGGACAAGAAATTCTGCTTCTGTAAGTTGCTTCCTCCTGTGAACAAACTCCAGATGCAGGTGCACTGGCATCAGTCGCTGCTTACAAACATCATCAGCTAACTTTAAAGAGTGCACATTTGATTTTTTCATTGGATGAAAGCGGTAGTATCAAACTCTTCGTTACACTAAATCACATGCACCTATGGACATTACACTATTTGGATCTCACAAAAAAATAAAGTGTCCTTACTTGCAGATAAATCCTGGAATTTAAAAATTCATACTGAGGAGCAAACACCCTCCAGATACTCTCTCAATCAGTAATCAGTTAACTTATCAACAAAACTATCAAAACAAAGCACTTTTCCTTCCATGATCCCATACATGCTCCTCATGAAGAAAATGATATTTCACTGAGAGAGGATGTGAGGATGGCGTGGGGGGGCGCAGAGATAGCTCACCTCACCATTGTCCAGAACAGCCATGGATGAGGTCTGACCACAAGCAATGCCAACCACCCTCTTAATATGTAAACAGTTTGTAACTTTTCGAGGAGTTGGTTGATTTGTTGTAGATCCTGATCCCACCTGGCCACAGTTGTTATAGCCCCAAGCAAATACCTACACAAGACAAGGGAAAAAGAATGAATTCCTAGTAACAGGGTAAAAATTCTAGCTCTAACACACATTAATAATCATAAAATAAAAATATAACCACTTAATGTATATTTATAATGTGCTACATGGCTCTAATGTATCATTAGAGCTTCCCAGGCACTAACTTCTTTAATTTTCATAGTAATCCTGTACGGTGACCCTGGATAGATACTATTGTCACCCCCATTTTATATACAGGAATGGAGACAGAGAGGTTAGGCGGCTTGAGGTCCCACACCAGTAAGCAGTAAATGTGGCCTGTGAACCCAACAAGCACAGCGGTGCTGCTAACCACTGCACTACATTGCCTCCGTCATTATGACGGCCGTATGTGGTTTTTCAATCTGGCATCAATAGGAAATAAGGCATAGACCACATAAGTAGCAGTGACAGGAAAAATCTGCTTAATTCTTTGGGCACAGATATTCCTTTTTTTCCCCTTCATGGAAAGCTTTCAAAGCCATACAGTGCTCCTCCTGTCTCACTAATCGCCAATACTGAATATTACATAACCTTTCCTGATGACTCACGACCATCACGATTATAATTATCGATCACGGTTACAGGTCATAACACAGTAAGGCTCACAAGTACCAAAGAGGTGTCTGTCCCTACAGAAATGATACCAAGTTGTTAGGCTATTCTTGGTACTGTTTTCTCTGCATTCTCATTTGCTGGCTGTCAGCTCCAAGCAGCTCCCCTCCTCAAATGCATCCTGTGCACTTTTGGCCTATGATTTGCCATAATGTGAAAAGCAGATGTCTAAAGAGACACAAATAAATCTCTAAGCTAGTTAAAATCTGGTAACAAAGATGAAAAACAAAACAAAACAATCACTTCAAGTTAATTACCAACTAAGCCTATCAAACAAGAGTGTGACCAGAGAGAAGAATTAGGGGAGGGCCAACAGCCAGGGAAAGAACTTCTTCCACACTGGGAGAATTTCTAAGGACCCCCACCCCTTTCACTTGCCCACAGGTGGTGGTCCTCCCACATCCTGAGGTCTGGCCTCCATAATTCTCTCCTCTGTCAGCACTTCCTATCTCAGCTCACATGTCTGATGCTGCCCAAGGCAACAATAGCAAAACCCATGGCTGGCTCCTCAAAAGAATATGCACTGGAGGTTCATTTCACAGGTACAAAATAACCTGCAACACTTCCTGAGAGTGGGTTCACAGGAAATGTCTAGTATAATAAAGCAAATATTTAGCACAATTATCCAAAGTAGCATATGCTTACAGTTAAAGTAAACCAGGAATCCAGGCTACAAATTAGGGAATTCTAATTTTAACAATCATTCTTCTGGCACTTCTCAAGTATCCCAAGCTCCCTTGCAATGCAGCTGCCTTTTATTTAAAAATGAGGACTGGGGTTCCAATAATCAAAAACAGACTAGCAACTGTGGATACAGGGCATAAGACCTGGGTGCTAGGCCTAGCCCCAGCACATCCCAGCCATGAAACCTTGATCTCCCTCAGCTTCTCTGGTTTCTTCACCCATAACCTGCCCCACATAATAAAATCACTGTTAACACCAATGAGGGATTTTAAACAGAACAGAATGATCTGTGTTTTAGAAATCACAGGGAGTAGGGGCGCGGCTGGGTGGTGCAGTCGGATGGGCGTCTGAACCTTGGCTTCAGCTTGGGTCGTGATCTCAGGGTCATGAGACTGAGCCCCACATCAGGCTCCTTGCTCGGTGTTGAGTGTGCTTGAGATTCTCTTTCCTCCCTCTGCCCCTCTCACTCATGCTCTAAAATAAATAAATAAATCTTAAAAAAAAAAATCACAGGGGGGCAGAGAGGTAACACTTAACAGGGAGACCAATTCAAAAGCTATAGAATAAAAAAGACCAGGGCAATAGCCCAGGCAGACAGCAAGGTCTGATCTAAGGTTATAGAGATGAAGAGAAACAAAATGAGATAACAGATTGGAAGATAAAATCAATAAGATGAGGAAACTTTCAGATAAGCACGGAACTTGAGGGTGAACAAGTGGTACCACAGCCACCGGTATGTTGGTGAAGTTGTTTTCTATGACATCATTACATTTACTGAAAAACAAAACAGACCTTAATGGATGGGGTAGTTAAAAAAACAACTAAAGTACAGAACACGGTCATATACATCTGATTTATAGTCTTAGCAAAGAGGAGACTCAACTGCCTCCAGGCTGAAGTCTACTATCATCAAAAGAGTGGTCCTGATCACATAGGTTATGTTAGAAAAAGAGTGTGTTCCCACATGTTTTTGTTTTTTTTTCCCCACATTTTTAGCTGTGCACACAGGACTACAATGTTTACACTATCCCAGATATAAATATGGTCACTATTTTTTTTAAAAGGCACTTTCACAATAGCCAAAAGGTGCTAACAATCCAAATATCCATCAACAGATAAATGGATGAACAAAATATGGCATATACATACACAGAATATTATTCAGTCTTAAAAAGGACAGAAATTCTGACACATGCCCCAATAGGGACGAACCCTGACAACATTATGCTCAGTGAAATAAGGCAGTCATAACAGGATGAACACTCCATGATTCCACTCATATAAGCATATAGGAGCATGTGAGAGTAGTCAAACTCATGGGAGACAGAATGGTGGTCACCGGGGACTGGGAGGGAAATAGGGTTATTGTTTGGTAGGTACAGTTTCAGCTCTGCAAGATAAAGAGAGTTCTGCAGATGAATGATGATGATGGTTGCATAACAATGTGAATATACTTAATGTCACTGAACTGACATTCAGTAGATCCCATGGATATAAAAATATATATGCATATTTTATACACATAAAATTTGCCATCCTAACCCATTTTAAGTGGTTAAAGAGACCATGGCAACAGTCCAGGCATATGATAAAATGGTTGCAGAAAGTGGTTCTCACACATCCTGAGGTCTGGCTTCCAAAATGCCTAGGATGGCAATTTTATATTATGTGTGTTTTACCACAGTTTAAAAATAAAGAATAAAAGCAGGGTACTTACCTCTCCATCAGCTGCCAGAGCCATTGAATGATGTGAGCCACAAGCTACTTCAACCACTTGCTTGATCAAGAGATTGGTACACACTTGGATGGGAGCAATGCCTTGGTTGGTCGTCCCATTCCCAAGCTGGCTATATCCATTGTGGCCCCAGGCATAAACAACTCCATCTATACAAGACGGCCACACACAAAGAATCAACTACAAGAAGGAATGGTAACCCCTGTACTTTCTTCCCCGGACTTTGCACAACTTACTCTCCAACCTTAATTTCTTTCACACTGCCTCCTCTTCCCAATAAAGTGGTTACTGATGAAGGCAAAGGGAAAGAGGGACAGGTGAGGAAACGAGATAGAAAAATGTAAAATCATTCAAGAAAGGACTTGACACTAACCTAGAAAGAAGACCAGCTTTACGGTCAGAAGTCAGTTTGTATACACAAAATCAGGCTGTCTGAACACACTGATTCATCTCAGTAGTTTCTGTGTCAGGTACCAAGCAAAAGGCAAAAGACATAAGAAAGCTCAGCACTAGTCTTTACTATCATTTTACCAGATACCAAGTCTCAGGGAACCACTGAGGTAGGGGGGTGTGTGGGTGTGGGTGGGTGGGTGGGTGGGTGTGTGTGGGTGTGTGTGGGTGTGTGTGTGTGTGTGTGTCCTCACAAAGTACAGAGGAAAGAGGCATACTACTTGCAAGAGGAAAGAGATAGGACTTTTTGTATATACTACATACAAAAATGCAAGAGCTTCCCTCAAGCAGACTGTTATTGGCATAAAATCTGGCTCAATTTTTCTTAATGACTTTATCTTTTTGGGACTCTGATAGAGGTAACTTCTGTTTTCCTCTCTAGAAGTACCACTGTTTGGTGCATTTCCTCCTACAGCGCACCTATGTGTCAAGAGCAGAGACCTCGAAGCTATGCACTCTTCTCATGTCTTTCCCCCCGTAATAAAACATCCTGCCCTATTAAGGACAATCTAGACCTGGACACAATGATATCCAAGAGCAACACCAGAAATCCAAGTGTTACTGTCAGGCTGCTGACTCGCTGCAATGGTCCCCAAGCAACCAGAGGAAAGGTACTCAAAATTAAGTAGGTTTCTTGATTATCTAATCTAAATCTAATCTTGAGCTTCTCACAAGAGGTTTTCCATATTACAGAGATTATGACAGAACCCATAAATGGAAAATTTCATCCTAAAAAGGATGAGGCTACAGATTGAAAAACTGTAACACCGAAAAAAGGGAAAAAAATTAAATATTAGGAAAAAAATACTTATAATTTATATTACTAGGAGACAATAATCTCTAATATAAAAAAGAGCTCCTAAAAATACAAAGAAAAAGACCGAGAACCCTCTAGAAATATGAACTGATGGTTCACAATGAAAGAAATGTAAATGACTCTTAACCATATAAAAAGATACCCTCACTCTTAAGAAAAATGCAAATTGAGAAGAGGGGACTCCTACCCACCAAGGCTACCACCTAGTTACTACCATTGCCGGAAGTCTGCTATGTTAGTAACAAAGACTAATGCAGAGTCCCTGCTACAGCATCACCCTTTAAAGAGACCAACTAGCTATTTGGTAATAGCTGACTATTACCAAGCTGACTCCAATGGACCCTTTCTATCCTGGAAGGAGCAGCCATTCATACTAACAGAAATCAACATATAATCAGAGTATGGGTTTCCTGCCCACAGGGCCTCAGCTAGCACAGCTATATGAGGGCTTACAGAGTATTTAATCCAGAGTATCTGATCCCACAAAACATCTCATCAGACCAAGGCAGCTACTTTATAGCAAGAGGCGTGGCAGTGCTCACATGACCATGGGGCTCCTGGTCCTGTCTCATGTACTGCAACACGCATAAGATGTCACTGGACACAGAGATGACAAGCCAGCTGAAGGTACAACTGAGGCATCAGCCTGGAGATAAGACCAGGTGAGGATGGGATGCTAAGCTCCAAGGTACAGATTCGGAATCAGTGACCACCAGATGGTGCTGTGTCCCTAATAGGTAGGATACGGGGGAGGGGGGGAACCAGAGTGGCTTATATGAGGGACCCTACTGACCATGACTCCCAGTGACCGACTTGGGGAATCTGTGCTTCCTGTCCCTGAAATTATAGGTTCTGGTTCCCTAAGCGGAAACACTTGCACTAATGGACACAGCAAGAATCCCACTGAACTTTAAGTTACGGCTGCCAAGGGCACTCTGTGTTCCCAAAACATATCAGAAGACACGGATCTGAGCAGTGCCTGGGAGAGAATGAATGACTGCTGTGCTGTGTCACCCAGATGCCCTCAGGATGAAGGACCTTATTCTCCAGATGCTGGGCTCTTTCCAGCTGCCTGTTCTCCGCCATCAGTCCTCTCCAGAGTTGCCCTTGGCAATCACCTTCTTGTGATTGTTTTGCCATTATTACATTATTATTTAACCTTACTATTATCACATTATTTTACTATCTTAAGATAGTATATATATCTATTTCTTCCCTTTTTATTTGATGAAACATAGGAAAACTGAGCTTCCTGAGATCACTCTTAGTCCCAACTCCCCAGGAAGTTTTCAAAGCAACCCCATCCAATGGGGCACCAGCACTGATTCCCCTAGCCCTGCTCTTGCTGCACAGTTTCTGACCAAGGATCAAGCTTCAGAATCAGGTGAGGGTCAAGAGATGAGCGAGTGAAACCAACCAGGATAGAAGGGAGAGCGGGAAGAGGGAAGGACCTGGGAAAGAGAGAGTACGGAGGGAGGCAAAGAAGCATTCCATGAAGTTCTGACCTTCAAGGAAACTCAGCTTTCAGAGACTGGATGCCGAGTTGGGGAAGTGGTCAGAAACAGCTAATTATATAAGTAACCTAATTTAATGTTGCTTCAGAAGACAAAAAAAGAAATCCACAAGCCCTAGGTCTATTAAGTAAAGTGATAATACTAAATGAATATTGATCTTCAGAGTAGTCACCAGACAGGACTAGATTTTCTTCTTCTTCTTTTTTTTTTTGAGGAAAGCCAGACTGCCACATGTAGCACCTTATTTGGATGTGTCTGGAGTCTTGGAAGCTTGACTACCCTACGTTCTCCTACAAATGGACTTCAAGAGCTTGTTCGGAGGTTCTAGCAGGGGAGCGCAGCTACTTGTCTACCCCTGACTCCTCTGTGGGAAAGGTCGTCCTGTCCTCTCCAACTGAGCACACAGCTTCAGGAGGGATGCACACGGAGCAGTGAGGGAGGAAGGGGGCACCCACCTACCCAGCCAGATCAGCTGTAACAACCCTGACGATCAATAGGGTGACAGATGTGGCAGCCAGATCACACTCACATACTAGATTTTCAATTTAATAATGTAGCATTGATCAAAACATTCCTAAAATACCTTTTAGAAATAGCACACAAGTGAGTAAAGCATGGAGAATTGAACATGTTTTTATCTTTATTCCTTCCCCAAAACCTGCTGAAATATAGTGAAGGGAACAATTTTTTAAAAAAAAGGCATAAACACTCAAGGACAAAAAAGAACAATAAAGAAGAAAATACAATAGGAGAGATGACAACAAAATTTTGGAAGATGGAAGGTAGACGGATGTGGTGAGTAACGGAGCCGACCAGAGAAGGTGACACCTACAACTGCAAAAGGAGAAGCCAATTACAACCCTGGAATCTCAGGAAGGCCCAGGGACTGGAGGACCTGGACATAACAGGAGATGTAAGGGCAGGTGGAACTAAAAACAGAAGCACTCAGACCCCAAATCCTCATCCTCTTGCTGTGGGGTCAGGCAATTACCCCTCCCCAACGCTGGTATAAGACAAGAGACCTAGAGCATTTACTTGCTGTGAATTTCTTATCGTAACTCCCCGCAGCCCAACTTCTCCCTTTGCCCAAACCTCCTTCCCTCCCTTCTCCTACATAACATGACAAAGAAAATGAGCTAGAAAAATACTCCAGAGAGGCCCTGACGACAGCTGTGAGGCACCGTAGTGAGGAAAGGGGAAGTAGAAGTCCACGTACTGAAGAGTGAGACCCCTGTCCTTCCCCTACTCATGGAAATCTGGCAAAAAAAACCAATCCAGGTCAAGAATCCGGAAGGTTCTACCCTACAGAGGCTCACATACTAACATTGGGAGAATCCCTAATGCAACAATTATCTCCCTAAAGTCAAGCTAAGCACTTGACAAGCCCCACCCATGAATCCAGTGTTCCCAACACGTGTATCAGCGCCTGGGTCTCACCTGTGGACAGATGGCCAAGGATCACCAAACTTTTCAAGAAAGCCTCTCACAAGAAAAGTCAGAGACCAAAACAAATTAAAGAGAAAGAAGAAATCTGGGAGGGGAAGAAAAAGAAACACTACAGAGAACAGAAGACAACTTGAATGTAACCTATGACAGCCTCAGAGAGAAGTTAGTGAATCCATGACACAAGGACAGAAGGCTCGAGAAAGGCACATTGAGAAAACAAGAAAGAGAACGGGAAAACGTAACAGCAGAAATGTGAAAATCTGACATCAGAGTTGTAAGATAAAGTTGAAGAAATTTTCCCAAAAGTAGATAGGAAACAAAATATAAAAAAGAGGATCAGTTCAGATTCCTCTAACTTCCTTCTAAGAAAAGTTCCAAAAAAGAAGAGAACAGAGAAAACAAAGAAGGGACATTATCCATGAAGTATGACAAGAAAATAATCTAGACATGAAGGAATTTCCAAACTGGAGTCAACAGAATGATCAATACAATAAATTAAAAATTGGGGCACCTGGGTGGCTCAGTCAGTTAGGCGTCTGTCTTCGGTTCAGGTCATAGTTCTGGGGTCCTGGGATCGAGCCCCAATCGGGCTCCCTGCTCAGCATGGAGTCTGCTTCTCCCTCCCTCCCCCCGCTCATGCTCTCTCTCACTCATGCGTGCACGCACTCTCTCATAAATTTTCTTAATTACTTAATTAAAAATTATCCACACCAGAGTACATAACCATGATTTTTTCAGAAAACTGGGAATAAAGAAAAGATCCTTAAACCTTCCGAAGAGGAAAAAACAGTCATATGCAAAAATAGCGAAAGTCAAAATGGCATCAGAATCTCAATAGCAAGCCTGACTTGAGAGGTGTGATGACTTTAAAATTCTGAAATAGGATTTTCACTCAGGAATTTTAAGACCAGCCAAACCACTGAGCAACTGCATGTGTAAAATGAAGACATTTTAAGAGAACGTCTCAAAGATTTCTGTCATAACACTTTCTTTGAGAAGCTCCCAGAGAATGTGTTTCACCCAAATAAGGGTATAATCCAAGGAAGACAACACGGGGGCACAAGAAATAGGGGATCCAGAAAGGACAAAGTTAAGGGGACTTCCATGGATGACGGTGAATGAAATTCCAGGCTGAGAGCTGGGGGGCAGGCCTACAGTGACCAGTCCCGGCTGGAACATGGGGACGAGGGCTCCAGAGACAACTAGACAATCTCAGAAGTGCTGAGACACAATACTGTTCTATGGAAGAGTCTGGACATAATGACAGCCCTATAGAAAAATAAGTGAATGAACCCCAGGAAAACAAACAGTTGTACAGAAAGGTGATAGTTCAGCTATAAATCACAGAGTCCTAATAATGTAAACACTGAATATCGATTTAACCAGAATGGTGGTATTGCTATATTGAAATGATTAGAGGAGGAAAAAAGGAGGAAAGAAAGCTAACTTCTATCTGCCATGATAAAAAGTGGAAAAATAAGATCTAAAATTGAAAATTCAGAGAGTATAACTGTATTAACTTAAAAATATGAGATTAACATGAGAAGAAACATTTGAAGGGGTTAAAAGTGATTCCTTCTGGAGGGTAGTTTCTAAGACTGAGAAGGGGTGAGGCAGAGGTCCTTCTGTTTTTTTAATAAAAGCCATATACTACTTGATGGTTTCAAGTGTTTTAAATGGTTTGATTTGTTTTAAAACTATTTGTTTGTAATACATATATAACATGCACAAACATATGTGCTATACATGCACCTGATACATAATGTAGGGCATGTTTAAATTATATCGTATAAAATGTATTGTAACAATCAAAACTGAATTAAAAAACATTCCCACAAGAAAATCAGTTATTTTATTTATATTTTTATGTTTTATGTTTATTTATTTTATATCTTAATTGTAACACTCAGGATAGTTAAGACTACATGATCTAGACTCTGGAAATAATTCCAAGAGTTGTAATTTCCTAAGGTCACCACTTTGAAGAAAACCAAGAATTTAAATGTATATGTTTTTAGGGGTGCCTGGGTGGCTCAGTCAGTTAATAATCCAACTCTTGATTTCGGCTCAGGTCATAATCTCAGGATCATGAGATCAAGCCCTGTATTGGGCTCCACACTGAGCGGAGAGTCAGCTTGAGATTCTGTCTCTCCCTCTCCCTCTGCCCCTCCCCCCACTCACGCATGCGTAGGCGCACACGCTCTCTCTCTGAAATAATCTTTATTTTAAAAATAAATAAAATAAATGCATACATTTTAGTGTGTCTGCTCTAAAAAACTGCCCCAGTGTTTTACAGTCAGCAATCAGTGACCAGTTAAAACTGATATTTGTTAGGAAAAAATCAAATCATTAGGTCACAAGAGATGACAAGCAGAACCAGTCAGCAAAGTAGTAACGGCTTGAAAGAGCCAGTGTGATGCCAGAAAGCATGGTTACACAACATAGAAGTGAGATCATCACCTCATTATGCTCAATACCAGTTATATTCTCACTAGACAATCATGCTCAGATCTGGATTTCACAGCTTGAGAAAGATGCAGACAACTTGGAGTAGATTCAGATATGAGTTAAAGGCAATTAAAAAGCTCAATACTAAGACCTCTGGCAATATCCAAGGAAGCTGTGATTCCTCAGTCTGGAGAGAGAAAGAGAAGCAAACAGAAAGCTTCCCCACAGAAAGCAGAGGGTCTCTGCTGGAGAGAGAGCAAGAGTTAACATGTTTAAAATATAAAGGGAAGAATTTAGGTTATATAGAACCTATTTTCAGAGAGTTCTGGTTGCCCACAGTGGAGATAAATTACCAAAGAAGAATGTTATAGTGTCCTTTTTCAGTGATCTTAGGGAGGCAGAGATTAAAAGGAGAAGAATCTATCTCACAGTCTTTCCAAATGGCACACACATGAATGCCAGGGAATAAACTAAGATTTCTTAAATTAGAGATTCAGGAACTACACAATGAAAGGAAAACCAGAATCATGTGTGTTTATAAAAATGTGCCAAGTAAAACACAAAAGTTGCCTTGCTCCCATAAATCCACTGAAAAATTAGGCAGAAGGACTACTTCATTTGCTACATCTAATCTTTAACAACTTTAGTATTCTAACGTTTGCTTAACTTGCAAGCAATATTATGGCTGTTCCAGAGTTAGCCTGAAGTGCTTAACTTTTATCAGTTTGGTATAGTTCTCAGAAATTAAGAAATAAACCACTCGAAATTATTCCATATGGCCCCACCTCACCTTTGCTCAGAATTCCGGTTCGATTTCCCACAAACTGAAAATCTGACTTTGTTCCCTCTTTACCTTCGGTGCTGAGAAGGACATGTGGTCCACTCCCATAACTAAGGCTTTTAATCTTCTTTCCACATAAGGCTTCTAGCTTTTTGGGTACAAGCGTACTCTGGTTATCTCCAGTTCCAAGACAGTTACTATAGTTCAATCCAAATACAAAGACCTAGAAAACAAATAGTTTTGTCTGAGTCACTTGGCCTAAAGTTACACAAAGGCTCCCTTCTCCACTCTGAAAATAAGACACACTCAAGTTCAGTGTGACAGCTCAGTAGGTAGAAGAGACTGACCGGATTAAGAAAAATTCAACCTCTGAGGACATTACTTACATTTTAGAATATTTGGCTATACTATGAAATTCAAAGAGTAGCATGGGGTTGAATGGTATTAAATCAAGAAACTGAAAGAAGAGAGAAATTATATCAAAGACATGGTCTTCTCGAACTTCAGGCTCTTTTTATCCCCAACCCTTTCAGAAGATAAGGAGGTAGGCCTTGCTGGGTATATCTGGGATAGTGGGAGGAGAAAAGACTGGAAGGAAAGTAAGGGCCAAGGGGATCCATGGATCTTCCAAGGAAATATTTCAAAACAGAGACTGATATGAGTAAATCTGCATTCTGGAAAGATCGGCTGGCCACAACCTTTTCTTGGTCTTCAAACTTCACACTTTAAAGCTCGCCCCCTAAAATCACACTCTGGGTTTTGAGAGATTCTTACCTCATCATTGTCAGTAACGTACAGTGCTTCATTGGCTGAGGTGCCAAAGACACATGCTTTCCGAATAGATGCAATTTCTTGAGGTGAGAGCAGAGTGAAGATTGGCCACTTTCCTACATCCACCATGACTCTGGCTTCAAGTAATTCCTATAAATAGGCCAACATCTCTGCTGCAACAAAAAAGATCCCAAGAAAAAAATGAAATAACCACTAAACTAACTTTAAAAAAAAAAAAAAAAGACACTGTGCATAAAAGGAAACAAAATCTAATTCCAAAAGAAAGTACCTACCTTTGGTTAAATGGACCACTCACTTTCCCCAGCAACCTGTCCAATCCTTCCCTCGTGGTCAAACCTGGGCCTTTTTCTGCAATGAGAGGAACAACTTGCTAGAACCAGTTGTTTGTCTTACCTACTCACAAGTCAGGGCTTATCTGTTAACATACTTGCTTATTTGCAACCAGACAGCAGATAATGGAAAGGCCGCTAACTGGATGAAACCAGGGTGTCTCATCAGGAATTTTTTCTTTAGGTTATTGAGATAAAATTAAAGGTTACAGTACTAGTTTGCCTAAGACACTGAATTCTTGCTTAGGAGAGGCAGGGCAGGAGGGTGTGTGCGTGCACATGAATGTTATAAAAAATCAGAATCATTACCTCTACTTCCCCACTGTCCTCCTCCAACCCCCAGGATGCACTCAAAGATCCCCATCCCTTGTAGAAAATCACTGCCCTACCAAGCCACTGTTTAATGATGGGAATGGGACATCCCTCTCACGTAAGTCTAAAGTGGCAAAAATATTAAGAAGTACTAGGCAAAAGAAATACAGAATGAAACCACAAAATAAAGTATTATATTCTGGTCCTAATTTCTATGACCATGTTTTCTACATATATACCGATCAAATTTCATTTCACACTGAAAAGTTATCATATGAACAAGGGAAGACAATTCACCCTAATCTTGGTGTTCAAGGTCGACTATAGCCTTCATGCAAGTAGCAATTAGCTTAAAAAGTATCCTATAAAAAGTAGACATAGGTATAAATTTTCATAAAACTCTAAATTTGACCTGTTTAAGGAGTTTTACACAAAGATCTATCCTTGTCATGCCTCCAATTCTTCTAGGGTTAAAAAAGTATTTCTAGAAATTCCAGGGAGCTGCACAAGCACAAAACCCTACCATGCCAAGTTGAGTTTCCATTCTGGCTCTCACCTCTAGAAACTGAAATAGAACCAGTTTATAAATACAACCAGGGTTTCCTAATGAGGTACAGAACTCCTGAAGTTCCTTCCTCCTCACTCTCTTCTCAGACCTCTAAAAATAGCCAGGAGAGCCAGGCTCAAGACCAAGGCCTTCTGGCCTCCAGCACTTCTGATAACACCTAGAGAGAGCCTTGGGGCTTAGGTATACCTAGCCAAGGCCTCAGTTTTCACCATCCAGGGAGATTTTTCCCATCAGCACCAACTTGGATGACAAGGAGCAGATGACTACTATGCCCCAAGAATCACATCACATATTCAATAAGCATTAAACACGATCAAGGACAGGCTATTCCCCATCACTCCACAGCCAGACTCCTGGCACAGCATCTGAATGTTCTGAGAAGTGTGCATGTGTGCGTGCCGGTGGGAACAGGTAAGGATTTGGGGAAGGGTAAAAAACTAATACATAAACATGTTGAAAATTTTTGTTTCAACTGGTATAAAGGGGTAAAGGAAAGTAAGTCTCCCTACCATCCCTCCCCAACCCTCTCCTCAAAGGCAACCACTGTGAACAGTTGTTTCTAATTCCTTCCAGAGATAGTGTATGCTTACAAAAACATTATGTGTATGTGTGTGTGGAAGCCTTTTTTCCCTTAACAGTACATCTTGGAAATCATTCTATATTAGCACATGTAGACTTCATTTCTTTTCAATGGGACTATATAGCATTCCATTACATCAAGTTAACTTACCTGCTTCCACTGAGAGACTAAGTCACTGCTAGTCTTTTCCTAGCATAAACAAGACTGCAATTATTGTCTACATGTATTATTGCATATACTTGTCTTTTTTTATACGTACATTTATAAGATAAATTCCTAAAAACGGAACTGCTGGGTCAAAGTGTAATTGCTATTTTGTTAAAGATCTATTTATTTATTTGTGAGCAAGCACACAGCAGGGGTAGGGCCAGAGGGAGAGGGAGAGAGTCTTAAAGCACCACCCAGGCACCCCAAATTGCTATTTTACCTTTTTAACAGTTATCTCAAATTGTCCCCTACTGAAGTAATACGCATATATAAAATAACCACCATTGTTTGGCAGCACCTGGTGACCCACATCCTTACCACACAGTGTATTACCATGGTGTCTTGGTTTTGTTTCAACTTGAATTCCTCCTATGATGAGTGAGGCGGGGCATCATTTAAAAAATAATCACAATAACAGCAACAATAACAACTGATATTTCTTGAACACCATGTGCCAAGTGTGTTCTTAATATTTTACATCTATTAATTCGTGTAAATCCTCACTTTACGGACAAGGAAATGGAGGCAAAGAGATTTTTAAGAATTTGCTCAAACCATTAAGTGCCTGAGTCTGGGCCTTGAAGCCACACAATCCGGAATCTGGAATCTGCACGTGCACTCTTCATTTCTTGGCCTCATGCATCATCCTTTTACATAAAGTCCCTATTTTTCCTCCTGGGCTACTGTTCTTTTCTTTGTTCTTGATTTTTGTGTTCTTTCTATGGTAAGATGACTATCTTAAATGCTCTCTGAGGTAACAAAAAAGATGCCTCCCACCCTGACCCACCCAAATGGCCTGCCTTGTGTCTCTCACAAAACAGACAGGGAAGGAGTCACAAGAAAGGAAACAGTGTAAATGTCTATAAGCAGATACACAATTCCAAAAAAAATCTAGCACTTTATTTTCCTAGAATATGAACCATATCAAAGTTAGTTCTCAACATTTAATATTGTATATAATACAGAATTTTAAATAAACAGAGAAAAATTTAAATTAGCCAAAAAAATGATTAACCACATTTACAATTACAACACAAAGGGATACTACCATCAAACTTATACAATTTCCTGACAACAGTACAATTATTCTGAAGTCATTCAGTCACAGGCCACTCTGCCCCCAAGGGTTTTGGTAAGCTACTGAAAAATCAGGCTTTCATAATGATGGCTCATTATATGAAATTATATATTATATTTCATAATGATGGCTTATTATATGAACATATTATATATCTCATAATGGTGGCTTATTATATGAACATATTACATATTTCATAATGGTGGCTTATTTTATGGACTTATTATATGAACCCATTCCTAAATTACTTGAATCTTTATTTTACAAGATATATCTCCAAAGCCTGTCAAATTAAAAGTTAATATAAAACCAGGTCATGGACCTTACAGGTCCACAACCATCATAAAAGCAGAAAGCGTTATCAACAGCCTTGGCATGGTGGAAAAGACAGCATCCTGAAGCACGTGTTTTATTCCCAGGTTGGCTTTTAATTAATCAGTGTGACATGCCACCTACCTTCCTGAGCCTGGGTCTCAAAAATCTGTCCTGTAAGATTCTATAATGTTATGTTCAAGATATAATGAACAAGCTGCAGGGGATTTTGGAACACATGAGAACAAGGGCAGTAATGCTGCCCAAGCTAAGTAATTACTCCTAGCAACACGATTCCGTTAAGTAAATAAAGACCAGGAAGAAAGATGTGAACAGTGATCAAGAACTGTTGCAGGGGGCCTGGGTGGCTCGGTCGGTTAAGCGTCTGCCTTCAGCTCAGGTCATGATCTCAGGCTCCTGGGATCAAGCCCCGCATCAGGCTCCCTGCTCAGCACGGAGTCTGCTTCTCCCTCTCCCTCTGTGCTCTCTTTCCTCCTCTCTCTCTCTCTCTCTCTAATAAATTAAATCTTAAAAAAAAACAAAAAAACAAAAAACTGTTGCAGACACTATGTTAAGCAGCTTCACATACGTTATTTCATCTAATTTTCACGATACACTTGTAAGGAAGAAAGGTCAAAATCCATTCTTAGCAGATGAGGAGTGGGGCTCAGAGGCAAAATGACTTCCCAAGGTCACAGAGCAATGAGTGGCAGAGTCAGGACTCAACCCCCAGCCCTCTGATTCTTCTCACATCAGAGAACATCAGCCCTGTCCCTTCAGTGGTTAAACTGCTCCAACATTATTTCCTTCTGACTTTGTCTAATAATGTACACCAGCATCTGTTTTTAAAATGCTTCAAATACAAAAAGAACCTCCCCCCTAAAAATGTGTTCCCTAATATGCCTCTATCTAGATTTGCCTGGTTAAACCTTGTGAATGTCACTCATTCCTTCCTTCCTCCGAAATCCACCAGGCGGCAGGTGCTGGAGACCAAATGCACCTTTGTCCTCAAGGAGCTCACTAGAGTGTATGAGCACAGGGTGCCTCCTTGGGCTACAGACTGCTAAAGCACAAAGTATGTCTTCAATAGACTATGTTCAAGATGAGTAGCTGACGACATGAACAAGGTATCCTCAGAATTCAGACAAGGTTCCCCAAGAGGTTTTGTGGAGGTATTAAAACTCAGGATGTGCTATGTGCTGTAAGGAATAGAAGTCCTGAACATGGGCATGTGGCATATCTTTTCCTAAGGCAGTATAATGTAAATGCAAATACCACCAACATTTTCTAATTAACTCAAAATTACCACCATCATCATTACAATCAGATTACTGCGGTGAGATGTTTAATTTCTCCAGTTTCCTGGGGGCAGCGACACCTTTGCTAGCTAATGTTGAGAAAATCATACTAAGTATCATTCTATCAGCTTCATATGTTTGACCCTCTACCACATAATTATAGAGTATACTACTAATCTAAAAGGCTAAAGCAGGTGGAATCACTAGCTTTAATCTGTTATGAAATCTATACCAGACTTAAGAACCACTGTGGCTAACAATGAGTCAGAAAAATAAGGATCTATCACAAGAAGACAGTAGATGTCTTATGCAATGACATCTACTCATCTACTAAATTTGCCTAAACGTGAAGTAGAAGTATTAACAGATTTGTTCTAATTGTATGGATTACACTTACAGGTATATAAAAATAGTTCAACATCATTTCATTTAAATTATCATGCTTCAAATAGTAATATTCTATCAGGAGGCACTACTAATAGGAAAGAATCTTCAAATGGCCTGCTCAACCTAGGCCATCCTGGATAGGCACATACTTTGTAAGTATTCAGCAGTGATTTTAAGGAAGGTAACCCAATGCTTTTCCTTCCATAGTACTACGCATCCCTCAAATGAAGTATCCCAAGGGAGATGCTAACAGAAAGTTAAACTATGAGCTTATTCC